CCGCAGCTGTTTGGAAACGGGATCGGGCTGCTGGGGCTGCCTGCCAACCGGTTCGATGTGCGGCAGGGCAGCGGGGCGCTGGACAGCCAGGGGCGGCTGAGGGAGGCGCTGCGGTTCGTGTTCAGCCAGGTGGGGCGGCCTCGGGGGGGAGACAGGCATGGAGGGGCGCGGTGGGGGTGGGGTTGCGGGTTCGGGGCGCTGGCATACGGTAGAATACTCCAAGGTTGATACTTGACATATCAGTATTGAAGCTGAACAATGGAGTGAGCATCGAAGAGTCCGAGGATTGGAGTGTTTCCTGCGGCCATCGTGCCGCCCGCTCAGCCAGCCAACCGAATCGCAACCGACGCGTCGTGACTCATATGTTTGCGCCGCAGGACGGCACCCTGTTCCGGGCCTTCATAATGGACGAGCTCGTCAAGTCGATAGACGCGCTCTCCAGGGAGCAGGTGATGATCTTGATCTGACCTGATCTGATCTGATATCTTATCGCGACCTGAGCAAAGGTCTGACCGCCTCCCATCCAGTCGAGCTGGTTAATCATCCTCACCTCAGCTGGTCCCCTGGTCCTCCCCTGACCGCAAGCCTCTCTTCCTTTACACATTGCCCACCCTTTCCCACCTCACTCCAGCCAGCCTCTTCGGCGTGGCTGGCTCGCAGCGCCCCCTGCAACCACGCAATCACTGCCCCCCCCCTTGCCAGCATTCCGCACTCGAGTGCCCATACCCTGTGCTTGCGCGCCCTAGACACACATTGCACACACACACAAACACACACACACACACACACACAGTGTGTATATGACACACACACTCACTGACACACACCCATTGACACCCTCACACACACACACACACTCACACGCGCAGCTCACTCTGCTGGTGACATCACTGGGGCTCTCCCGCGCCCGCGTGCCGGTCCTGCTGCCGGGCGCGGCGGTGGCCAGCCTGCCCCTGGCGCCCACCGTCTCGGAGGAGGACAGACGGGTGCGCCGCCGCCGCCGCCGCGCGTACGGACGCGTCTCGGCCATCGCTTGGGGTTGCGACCCTGTTTTTGCTGCACTTAGCGGGAGAGAATGGCGGCTTGCCGCTGCACTTGTGCCCACTTTGCAGGTCAAAGGGGGGAACCCTGAACTAGAACTCCCAGGGGCCAGCAGGTTGCCTCTTGGAGTGGCCCACCAGCGACGCGACACACCCTCCTCCCCCACAACTGCCTGAAAACCCGACAAACAACCTCAAAACCATCCATCTGTTCTCCCAGGTGGTGGAGAACCTGGTCAAGATCGTCAACTTCCTTACGAAGGGCGGCGACGGCAGCAACGGCAGCAGCAGCAACGGCAGCAGCGGCGCCGGCGCGGGCCGGCCGTTTGGCGCGGGCGGCGGCGAGGTGGTGGCGGAGCTGCTGCCCTACCTGCCTGCGGTGGCGAGAGAGGTCCTGCCGCAGCTGGGGACGCAGCTGGTCGGCAGGATCTCTGCGCGCTTCGTGAGGGAGCTGTTTGTGCCGGCGCCGGCGCGGCGGTGATCGTTGGTGGACGGACATTTGTTTCGCACCCTAAATGCTGCGCGGCGCCGGACGGCGTTGTTGGAATGGCGGCGGCGGGGGAGGCGCTTTTGAGGAGGAGCGGCAGTGCGGTTTATTTTGTGGGGGCGGCGAGGGAGGAGGGGCGGGGCAAGGATGGACCGTCGCGTGGAGGGAGAGCGGAGAGATGAGGAGTGTGCAGCGGCACCGCATGCGCGCGCGCGCCCCGCCACGGCCCGCCCTTCGCGCTACGGCGGCGGCGCGGCGACCGCGGGCAGGGGCTGCGGCGGCAGCGGCAGCCGCGGCGGCAGCAGGTGCTGCCATTTGAGCGGACCGCCGCCGCAGGGGCCGCCGCCACGTGGCCCGGGGTGCTGCGGCCGCGGCTTTGAGGCTTAACAGAGATCATCGTTGTGTTGCCTGAGCCCACCCTCATACCCGGGCCGGCCACGGGGGTGTGCGCGCCGGGAGCGAGAGCGTCCTGTGCATGTTGTGTGCGTCAGAGGAGACGCCTTCTGCAGCGCAAATCAGCCGCCTCTTCTCTGACCTGCAAATCACCATTTTAAGCAAGGCTACAAATTTGGATTTTGGACAGTGCCATTCCTCTCGCCATGCGTCTGCTTTGAGGGTCGTCACCCAGCGGCCGCCGCCGCCATTTGGCAGACCGTTTCCGCCCGAGCGCGCGCAGCCTGAGCGGCGCAGCGGGACCGGCGGCGCCGCGCCGCCGCAGGCCGCGCCTGCCCGGCCGTTGAGTGTCCTGGAGTCGTTTAGTGAGTTGCATCTGCCCCTCAGCGCCGCGGCGAGCGCTGCACTGCCTTTGATGGTTGATAGGGGAGCAGGGTTGCAAATCCGGGCTGCCCCGCTGCCTGCGCCTGACTTTGAACAGCCTAAGCACAGGCGCAGGGGCGTGGAGCGCCGAGAGTGAAGAGTGAGAGTCTTGAGGAGTGCTCGCCTTGACCACCGCTAACCCGTAAAGCCCAACTTATTTTGTTCACATGATGGGGCGCTAGCCGGCGCGTTTGGCCGAGGGCGGCGCGGCGCACCTCCAAGTTATCTGGACTGGCACAGGGTGTGGCTGTTGGTTGGACGCAGGGAGGGTGCATCTGGATGCAGGGCGGGCGCGCGGCGCTTGCCGCTGGCGGGGGGGTTGAGGGTGAAAACCTGAGGCCTAGTAACAGCAGCTTGGTGAACGAACCCAGAGCAAAACAATTCCAAGGTTGCAGCGGTCATCATCGGAGCCGGTGGGCAAAGGCAAACATAATAATGGCAGTGCTGTGCGGGAGGCAGGGGCGGGTGCAGGGGCGCGTTTTGACACGACAGCGGCTGGCGGCGGCTCAAGAGGGGCTTTGGGGTTTGTTCATGCAGAGGCCCTCCAGCTGAGGCGCGTGCGCACAAAGCAGGTGGGCCGCAGGGCTTCACAGACATGATGTTTCCAAAATATCTTTCGTGCGTCTGCCGGGACTCGAACCTGTGCCAACCAGCCCCAATGACCAGGTGCCGGGCTAGACATGCGCGGCACCCCTGAACCCTGAATCGTCAAGGGCGCAGCGCAGTGCAGAAAGTCCAGGCATGCGTCAGCTGGAGGCCGGTGGCCCGCGTGAGGGGTCGTGCTCCCGGCGGTGCTGCCAGGCGTGCCAAGCGAGATAGGTGCTGCATGCATGTGTACGCCGTTGGTGCCCCTGAGTTCGGCGGCGCCGGCGCAGGGGCCCAGGGCAGATGAAGCAAGGGGTGCGTTTCGTGGTTGCCGCGCACCAGGCACGGACAGCTGGCCTGGTTTGTGCGTCCAAGGAAGGGTGCATTCTGCAGGAGGCATACCGGGAATCCTGAAACCCTACTGCTGCAGCCTACCCGCAGCACCCGCCCTCGGCCCCAGCCTTTCTTTTATGGATGCTTTTGCTCGTCTTGTCCGGCCACGCGGCGCCCGTGCGGCGGCGCGGCGCGCGGCGCGTGCGTTCATCAAAGCGGCACCTTGGAATGCCCTTGTGGCTTCCTAGTGCCAAACGCGCCGGCCGCGCGCCTGGCCCGTGACAGCGCAAGGAAGCACGGCGCCGCTGCGGCCCGCCGGCACGAGGCGCCGGCGTCCCCCACTCCCGCAGGCGTGGCCTGCGCGGCCGCCGCCGCAGCACCGGCAGCAGAGGCGATCGCAGCATTAGCCACAAGTAGCCGTAGCAGCCGCAGCAGCCGCAGCAGCCGCAGCAGCAGCCGCCGCGGCCCGCCAGCAGCCATATGGCTGCAATGCCCCGCCTGGCTATGGCTGCGGCGTGAGCTTCGCCACGCGCGCATAGGGGTTGGCCCCCGCCCGCAGCGCGGCCACAAAGGCGTCCATCTTGGCCATCTCGGGGTACGCCTCCAGGGGGGTGGCGCAGGGGCCGCCATACTCGAGGGGCACCTAGGGGCGTCGGAAGCCAGAGGGGCACCCAGGGGGAAAAGGGGGGGGGGCGCATGATTTTCTGGTACAATTGGGGAGAACAAATACGTGCAATTGGGACCCTTGCGCGCGTGCGCAGCCGGAGGAGGGGGGAGGGGCGCTCGTGCTTGCCGGCCATTGTGCACAAGGGTGCTGCCTGGCTGTGCGCAGCGCGTTTGTGCAATAGAGAGGAATGCAGTAGCGCCGGCGCTCCACCGGCACGCGTCGCTCCAGGAGCGGAGGGCCGTCGGCCCGGCAGCAACAGGGATCGCGTGAGGGACCCAGGCGCCGCGGGGTGCCTGAGGACGGAGCGCGGTCCCTCCCCTGGGCCACCGCGCCGAGCACCATTCCCATCCCCTTTGCGCCCAAAGGCCCCAGATCAACTGTGCCCCCCCCCCTTGAACCCCCCACCCCGGAAGCCAAGTGATAAAGAGTGTTCTCAGTCTGCAGCCCTGCCCCCTGCTCCTTCCGATTAAGGGACGTGCCTGCAAGCCAGCCCACCACACGTACACACACACTCACACACACGCACACACACACACACACACACACACACACA